ATCAGACGCAGGGAGATTACGCTGTTCAGTCGACGACCAATCAGACTACAGGAGATTCTACTATTCCACCAGCGACCAACGAGACGCAGGGAAATAACGCTCTTCCGTACGGATTTCAGCAAGACGTGACGTCGTACCCGTTAGCACCCCCTATATACGAAACGATTGAATGAGGACCATGGTGCAAGTTCCCCAGGCTTTAAATAAACCAATGACATTTATTTTGATATACCAGTGCAATAATCCAGTGAGGAGAGTGTAGTTTAAATTTATCCAGCTCAGTTTCTTCAAAGTGATGAAGAAGCCCACTCAACTTAACATTAGAATTGTTTAAAAAAAATGTCCCACGTGATTTTAAAATCTCACTCACAAATAAAAGACTGGGCTATTCTGGTATAATTATAAATGGAACGCTGACTGATTGTCTGTATGGATTGTTATACCATTGTTATAGTGGATTCTGATGTATTAGCAGTATATCGTTCATCATCTAAGACACGAGTTTCAACGCTCCATAGAGAGCATTCAAGTTCAGCACCATATGTAGAATTTGTATTTTTATTTCCTCACATTGTTAATGTCATGCATTAACTAGCTAAATTGGGTGTTTAACGGTTCTTCTTGGAAATGGCGGCTAATATGGAGACTTGTCTAACTAAACATGCAATTAGCATAGACAATTAATAAACTATTTTGTGGTAATTTTGTTCAAACGGTAAATGAAAAATATATGATACTTTAGCTAAAATAGTGCATGAATTCATAAACAAATTTCTTTACTTTTGATGGACATTTGTTCATAATAAAATAAGTAGGTAGCCATAACACAAATATGTAATATAGTAACATTCACTAATAATGATATTAACATATACGACAAACATATATTGCGAGAATTATTGTTTGAATAAGTTGTTATTGTATTATGCCTGATTCGGAAATGTGGGAATTTAAAAACAAACTGATATTTTTTAATTGGAACGTGTAAAATAGAAGTTCCATGGCTCACGAAATTGGGCTACAACAAATGTCATTGCCTAGATAAAAAAACATCCGCGTTTGAGAGTGCGTATGAGCAGGTTTGCAAAAATGTTTTGTGTTTTCATTTTTTGTCTAACTCAATAAAATGCACACATGGCATCCAATTAACATTTGAATAAGTCATATAACAATTTTTATTTTGACTGAGGTCATCTTTGGAAGTGACCAAAATAAATAACTGTTAGTTTTCACTCGATTTCCTCAGTTGAAAATTAAATGGGGAATTTAACATCATTTTCATATGAATGGATTCTTACCTTCCTACTCAATTGAATTAAAACTACCGCTATTGGTGGTAAGCATCATGTAATCATTCTGTATGGACTAATTTTACATCTTTTTTGGCGTTTCCGAAACTAGCATAAACAACCTGAGCATAAGCATCGTAGGAAACCTGTAAAAACAACGCAGACACGTCTGTCTATATTTTTGGTAGCTATTATCAGTGAATTTTTCTTTTCTAAGTTTATCTGAACATGAAGACGTTTTGTTAATTTCAAGTAAATTCACCTGGTCACAGTACAATAGTGCCGCCATGAGTAGTATTGTGTCTGAGGTAGAACCAGACAAAGAAATAGAAGTTGCACAATGATTTTAAAGATAATTGAAAAAAATAATCGACTTAGCTATTATTGAAATACTTGTAGATTTACTAACGTCAGTGATAATCAGTGGGAATTAACAGAATGATTCTTAAGTAAATTTGCTGACACATCAGTTTACATTAAACAGTGTAATCTATACCAGTTATGCTTACTGGACATGGAGGTGCTTATAGTTGAATTAAACTATGTTTTTACTCACCCACAATATTGTATTTGTCAATTGTTTTCTCGAAATTGTGGAAAAACTATAAGTGTCCATGGCAACCGAATGTACTTCCAGTCCTCTAAAAGAATTTGACAACACCACGGACTACCATATTTAATTATACATCGTTGATATATTTTAGTTCCAAACCCATCTTGCAAATTACCCGAATCCAAGGCGCGTGCACCGTAATAGGTATTGTTGAACACTACGCTGCCAACTAAAGAGGGCGCTTACTGGAACAACTGCGTGTCATAGGATGCTGTGATGTCCTGTCAAGCCATTTAAATTCAATGTTTTGTAGTAAGTGGTCACAGAGCACTGGTCGTTGGTAAAACTGTGTAACTGAAAACACACAGAAGTGAGTTAGCAAGGGGAATTTTAGTTCCAATCAGAGTAAATAATTATATATATGTATTCGTTAACATAGAATCTGACAGTTGTGTATAAAGTACAAGATTGTCAGTGTAAAGGCAATTGAAGCTCTGTGGTGAACTCCGGAACTTCAGTAAGTGTACAATCAACAACCATCTTTAGAAAACGCAATCGAGCCTTTGACATGACTCTTTACTTTGTGATGACATATACAACTCCCTGATGTCCATTACACGAGCATATGTAAAATCAATGAATGTAGACACACAGACACAAGAATGCAATTTAAGTCACGTTTTCCTATCTCTTTACTGGAACGTTACAAAAGTTGTCAATTTCACCATCGGACTAGAGACAAAACTCACATCTATTGCCAAACTATTGTTCTTAAAAAGGTCGTAAAATGTATTTTGTGTTGTAAAATATATCAAGACATGACAACGTTACCATACTTGCATCTTCCTGGCAGTAGATTTTTTGCTGAAAACTTGTATTCTAAAGAAATCGTGCCAGAAATTTGATCTTTAACCTAAAGATTATGTGTGATATCTCCACCAAATTAGGATACTCCAGCAGTTACTACCTCCTGAATTTTTCAGATTTGTTCATTTAATGAACTGTCAGAATAATTTATGAAGAGTATGAACAAAATATAACTTGATTTTGACTCATTATACACCCATTATACACACTCGCTAAGACTCGTGTGTTTTATGTCCCAAAACGTCTGATCAAAATATACTCTCATCATCTAGTTCTCTCCTAAAATTACACCAGACAAATCATTTTAAATCGTATTTGATGATTCGCCGTTTCTAATTCTTCAGACCTTACAGTTGCAACGCAACGTAATAGATTAATTTCCTCCATTCAACTGTCACCTACTGCTCGTCTATTTACTGTTAAGATACACAAAGACTGCTCATAAATCTAGTAATAAGTTGCCAATGTGTCTCTATAAATACATTGAAAAGTTTTTAAATCTTTAAATAATTGCAGTTGATAAACTGACCGCAGCGCACTTCCAGGGAATGGCCGTCCAGTATGCTGTTGTATTGAATATAATGCGCTGAGACGCTTAGTTGGCACGGCTGATGTGTTTTGTGTCAAAACTGTAATATGTCATGCGATTCAACCGTTGCCATGGTAACATCACTTTGGTTTGGTATGTATCCTGTCACACTGTGTAACAGGCACGCTAAAGAAAGACGAAAATACAAAAAGTACATTTATAAATTGGTGTATATTAACCAATGATTTTGCACAAAATGTAGTAATTATTTGTTTATTTTACATTTCCTATTATATGCATACACGATGACCACACTGATCAATAGAATGAATGAAACGAGTTGAATCTATTGAAATCAACTTTGTAAAAAAATCAAAAATTAAACTTAAATCATGTTTAGGAAAATAATAATGTAATGTGAATTTCATTGTTATACAAAATGTTAGTTTAGATACATAGAATACTTATTCCAGTTTAAACACATTTCCGATTGAAAGTCTTGTGTGTATAATACAACCCAAATACATACATATATATATTTGCATGTGATTATTTGGGACTATGGTCTCTGCAATTCCCAATGTAGTACAATAAGCCTAACATTTCTAATAATTCTAAACATACGCCTTAGCTCCCATAAGTCATTTAAATTTAGTTCAACCAAATCCATGCTCACATACAAATCCAGTCACTATCACCCATCGTGCCACCTTTATCAGTAGATGCCAGAAGTGATCATGAGATCGTGAGTAAGAAATCAAATCGACTAATTGGCCCCCTTAAGCTTGTTCGCGATTCCATGGTCCAGTCCTGGTCACAGGTGACATTATATAAATATGCTACATTATTTTACTATTTTATAATCAATATAAAGTTAACGAATACCCAACTGTGTGTAAATTGGTTATTGTATTTAATTCGCATTAGGAATTGTTGGTTCGATACCCAGATACAACGTTGTGTGCAGTTTAAATGAAATTTCAGTCTGTCCTGCCTTAAAAAGAAATGGTATTAAATGATCGGATTTCGCCTAAACTTGCAATTACCACAAAAAAAGCCAGGAGAGACATCAGTCTCCATTGTATTGAACTGTAATTTGGCACAGGCATCAGTAATGTATCAACTCGGCACGTGAGGACAGCATCACGTATATTCTGCTTCCGTGCGTAGACCTCAGCCAATCGGTCATTAGCAACTTAGAACGTCTGACCGAGTTATCGCATTATTGAAACGTATAATACGTAAGTAAACAAATAAAACAGCTCAAACTACAAGCGTACGAATAAACACTCAACACGTGTTCGGATCGCCGACGTAAACCGTATTGATAAAATATGTTCAGGATGGATGTGGTTAACAAACTTCATTTTATAAACAAACTTATTATTCAAAACCGACAAACCTGTGACTTTGTAGTCGTATAGCGGTGATCTCTATTGACTCAGAGATTGGTATACGTCACGCCATGTTTGTTTACCCTACGTCAAGTTAATATTTAGTTGGGCCCGTAACGATCGTGACGAGTGTTCGCAAATATACGATACGTACCACTCATAAGGTGTCATCGAAACGGTCCTATTCGATACCACGCAACAGATGTAAATTATTATCGATGAAAACGGATCGTACAAACCGTTAAAATACGTATAATTGTCAGTCTGTCATCTATACGAACTTGTTTGTTAGCGTTCAACGAAAAGGAATTATTACACGTGGAAGTTTTCAATAGATTCGCGATAGTGAAGTAGGATAAATCTAAAATATGACTTTAAACTGTGCATACCTGGGAACAGTATTACTTGTAGCAGCTCTTGGTTCAACTGGAGAAGCGACATGTGAGTATACAACCACATATTAATAAAAACAATTATTTTATGGTAGGAGCGTACCAGGCACAGAAAACGACCGAAGTTGAACTCTACAAGATGATTATGAGTCATTGTTGTTTGTGTATGCTCCTGGGACGTTGAGAAGTAAACATTGCTGGCTTGTATCTCTTATCAATGTTTGCGAAGAATGTTATTTGCATTGGTGCTAACACCAAACGGAGAATTTGTGGGAAATTTTACCCGCATAGCATCAAGAACAATAACACAACTAGTCCCACCCTCCCATATTGCTTGCTTCAGTTATTTTAATGAATTTCACGCTTAATGTGCCCATAATTGTATGTCTAATTTGAATTGCCAACGACTTCTCTGTGAGACTGATTCAATGTTTTTCTGTAACCTTTTTTAACCCTATGTCGATTATCATGTAACCAGACGCTAATATAGATATGTATGTAAACTACAGCAGTAAATTACAATCAACCGTATGACTGTGAAATGAACAAATGCGCATGCGCTAATGGAGTCAAATCATATCGGTGCTTTGCCAAGTTCGCCAATTAGATAGAAGCCTATTCATTAATTAAATACCCAAAATTTATCTATTTTGAAATTGTTTTGTTTTTATATCCAATATATTAAAGATGTTAACTTCAAAACAAGTTTGTTGTCATCGGCCAAGTGTCTGGGAAAACGATGGCTATATACATTGTTGAATGGCGGCCATTTTTTAATTTTCAAATTGTCAACACCCAAAAATGAGATACTTATGACCGACCTCTCAAACCTTTCACGTTTCAACCTATCGCGTCTGCAAAACATAAATTTCATTAATCTTACTGTCTGCTCTTTGTTGAAAATAAACAGACGATGTTTTGGAATAATTATATTCTGAAAATATAGGACTGTAACCTGCAACATGGCATAATGTTGTTTACTGTTGCCAGGAAACAATATATCCACACTTCATAATTTACCCCCCCCCCAACAAATAAAAATGTCGGTGGTGATTTATCACCATTTTTCGCAAAGATTATGCGTAGGCTTTTACCTTGATTTACAGATGCCCGTGAACAAATGCAATTTTCATTCTAATACTTTTTCGACAACTGGGAGCTGACAAAATGCGTTTTTAACATTTTTGTTTTGCTATGTAAACCATATGATCCCCGGATGGCTGTGTGTACATATGTGCCATCATATATTACAATGATAATACAGTGATGGCAACAAGTACGGGAAAATGACGTTCAGCAATCTGTTGATACAATACTTGGGGCAAATGCTTTATATAATATTGCAAAATTCAAACGTTGATTTCACAAACGAGTTATATAACATAATCTTGGCGTGGCGCGGCATTTATATGGATGTAATGACAAATACGTTGAGATATTTGATTACCTAAATAATTAAAACATTGTAACCAGAACATTTTCCGAAATATCAATTCTAATTTCCATTTTAGTGAACGATATTCGATCTAGCTGCTTGCTTTGACGCAATAAATAGTATATTTGCCTTGGCTATATTTTAACTGAGACATTTGTTTATAACCAAAAAACTAATATTGGTTACGTTATTATGTCGCCACAGAATAACTATAAATAGGTCACCACGGCTTGTGTAAATAGCTGTGTCACCAACTACGTGTTAGGTGCATCCTCCTTGAGACAAGTTGATAAATCATTAACATAAATTAAACATACCTAATATTGACTCCCGCTATCCAAAAGATTACAATAATAATAAGTGACTGAAAATATCATAACAAACACACGGGGATCTATAATAAAATGTGTGTCTAGATATGGATCCTAATTGTTCAAACACAACTGAAATGGGTCAAAATTATTTATTTTTAATTACAACTGAAACCAAGTGCATGTTAATATCCATGTACAGTTTGATTACAATTAACCAAGTGATGTCAGAGAACACGACTCTGAAAAACAACATTCGGTAGAAAAAATGTTTCGTCACACGGCCATTTTGAATACTCAAAGTGTGTAACTGTTCACTTATGACCGAAATCTATGTCCACAAAGGTTCAAAAATGTTCGATTTTTGTGCATTTTTAATATCAAACCGGCCGCCATTCAACTTGAATCGAAGCTCCAATGAAATGCATGTGCAATACGATGTACGGTGTATGTTTGAGTGTAACTGGTCGAAGCATGCCCGAGATATGCCAGCAGAACTGCATTTAGTAAAACAAATAGGATCAGTTTGCTTTTTCGAATATATATTAAACAAAAAATCAAAAACGTTCCGACGTTCGAACAATACATGAAACAATATGTGGCTCAATGTATCGAATGTACAAAAACGAATCATGGAAACTACACCAGCCATTTGGGGGGAGGGCTTGATCTTATCTATCAGTGAATTCATGAAGACTGTTGCTTACCAGATGTGTGCATCAGAATGAAACCAGATTGACAAGAACTAATTACTTCATTAGCATACATGTAATGGTATAACTACTAGTATGTGCGGCTCTTGAAATTAACATTCGGAAATGTATCAGACAGAGATTGAGTTTAGGATACTATTAGTCGACATGGTACGACTTGCAAAGTGTTGATATATATATATATATATATATATATATATATATATATATATATATATATATATATATATATATATATATATATAACGTCAGTAGTTACGAATATTTTTTAGACTAATTTCGAATTTCCTTATGCGACATTTCAGCTGTATATTCTGCCTTAGTTACACGTATTGTTGATTGGGTTGTAGCCCACTAATAATAATTAATTCATCATTTGTTTTCTCAAAAAGTGTACTTGGACGACCATTGTGGAGAAACTATCAGGGTCCATGGCGACCGAATGTACTCCCAATCCACTAAAAACTATGACAACAACATGGATTGCCTTGTGACCATACAGGCACCGTACGATTATCAGATAGTAACTATAGATGTAAGTATAAAACCTTGGTGTATATGTTTGCAAATTAAACCCAGTTCACTGATTACCTGATTGTCACAGCATTTTTACGACATTGAGTATGTAAAAAGTACTAAGATGATTGTGTGTCAGCATGGTTGTGAATCACTCTTTGATATTTGGACTCTAGAACTATCTATCAAAATTTCAAAAATCGAAATGACAAGCATTACCGCATTGCTATTATAAACCACGAACAGAATGAGAGCGCTATAACTAAGAACTCTTGAAATCTATAAACAATTTGCCAGCTGTTTATATAGTAAAGCAATAACAAAAACACAAACAAGTTTTGGCAGTGCTTCTTGAACGTGAATGGGTACACTTTGCATTTACACGTGCGAAGCAATATGTTTGAACACTACTCTAATAACCAAGTTACCTGTATGCAGCTAATAGTGTATTAATTTTATGATTACAGTTTTCGTGGGTTGACCTTTTTAATCGGGGTTGTTATGACTACATAGAGATATGTGACACTAATGGCACACTGTTGAATACGATTTGCGCCAACTGGGAACCCCGGGACATCTATTCATCTGGAAATTTTATATACATTCGGATGGTGACAGATGATTCCCGCGTAGATAGGGGGTTTAGTTTAGTCTTCACAGCCTTTCATTATGGTAAGTAAAGAACGACGTAGTAAGGACGACTTTAGCAGCTTTGAATTCTGTTATTAGCTGTATTATTGTTAATTATATTATATTGTTATTCATGCGAATCTATGTAATACAAATTATCAATTAATTTTAGATTACGATTTAGCATGCAACGACACGTACGAGTTCAAGTGTTCAGGAAATGATCGCTGTATTGACGACTCCTTAGTTTGCGACGATAAAAATAACTGCAATAACGCTTACGACGAAGACGACTGCTCAGGTCAGTATTTATTATTAATGTATCATGCAGTTTTTTATGTCCAAAACAGAAAGTAGTGGACAATACGTAGGACACCAACCATTGCAGACATATTCA